GGGGGCCCTGTATACCCTTCAGGTTGTAAGCTTCGCTTAAGTAAGATACTCCGCTAGCCCTCAGAGGCTAGCTTTCGTGATAACCGAACCCCATCAAAGCTGGGGGGGAAAGCCCCAGCCGGCACACATTCGCGTCAAGAGTGAGGGTGTAAGATGCAACTTACAAGTTGCAAACGTGCCTGGCACTCATGCGGCGCACCGCATCGAGGCAAACCGAGCCTGGGATTTGGGAAGCTTTTGACAACTTGGGCCTCCACCTTGTGGCGTTTGTGATTCCACGAGGCACCAGCATGCACCAGGGTTGGCGAAGCACAGTGGGCTTTGAGCTTCATGAGCTGTGGGTGTAAGATTGGATTGCAATGGATTGCAGGTGTAGACAAGGCTGAAAACAACTTGTACGGCATCTTGCTACATGTTTTCTAACCCGATGCCCTCCCCACCGCAAGGAAATCCATGCAACCGCACCTGTCTGTTTCCAATGGGTCCGAACTATTCTTAACATCTGCTACTGTAGATAGAGTTTCTTTGGGAAGCAATGTTTTCTCAACTGTAGCATCGCGGGGAAGGGCAACGAGCAAAGCTGCATCTCCGAAACCTGCACGAAGCTAACACAATCCAGACCCACCACCCTCTGTCTTTTCGAATGCGAAACGATCACCCGAAACCTGGAACAAGAAGCCTTTGAAAACGTAACCCCGAAGGCCAGAGCTCCATTGTTTAACCCTCCGAAAGAGGCTTTGCCCTGCCAAGTCACAGAACCCGAAAATCCCATCACAGTGATACTCTGCGCAGGCCATGCATCGCTGGTGGATCCTGGCCTTCGATCGCCATGCGGGGTGGGAGATGCTGGCAGCTTCAAGACCTACAGATCATACAATGGTGGGGGCTAGGGGACGCCGCACTCCCCCCCCCCCCCCCCCCCCCCCTCCCAAAAAAAAAAGCGGCAACTCCCGTGCGAGTCCCCTTGCTTTCTTTCGTTTTGCCTGGACACCTCAGCACGTAGCTTCGCCCAGCCGTCCGCATAGGCTGCAGTCTCGATGCTGGGTCTCGACAGCTGCATCTCCTGTTTTGAACTTTCAAGCTGAAGATGTTTGAAGGTCCTTGTCAAACATCATATTACTGATCACTTTCTGTGCAAGAACCGGTGTCATAATCGCGCCTCAAGGAGAGCACGGATTGGATAATTGGGCACCGGCGGCCTTGGCTAAAAGGAGGCCGCTGAACCGCTTTCCATCTTTGCTGCCGTGCTGTGGAAAGTTGCCAATTAAGGCCGCAAAGACACTGCCACATGCGCTTTAGCCCCAGAAGCCCAGAAGCCCACAACAAGCCGAAGGCCTTCCCCGCCATAAACCCAACAATTGGGAATTGAACCAAACTCTCAGCCTGAACCCCTCCTCTCAAGGTCCCGGACCCCAGACGCAGGCTGCGGCTGCAAAAACTAGTAAGTAGCACAACTGAGACACATGCGAGCCCCTCCCCTCCAACTCAGCCGAAGGGCAGCTCCTCCAAGATGGGTCCTGCTGAAAACATCGCAAGAACACCGCAGGAATGAACAGCGAAAGCCCACGCGCGACCATGGCCAAGCTTTGCATTGACAATGGCATTGGCACTGCGCAGCACTCAACCGTACAACACCTTTCCCATTTGCAATTTGCTGGATCTCGAACATACCAGGCGGGCGGTTTTTATGCGTCACGAGCCATAGCACAAAAATCTGAGCGCATCTGCCGCAGGTTGCTTGCTTGTCCGTGGCCCTCACGGGGCAAGTCAGGAGCTCACATGAGGATGTATGCACTAGCACTTCTTCTTCAATGCTGAGAAGATCCGGAGGATGATCTCATAAGCATTCTCCACCATTCGTTTGGTTGGCTAAGCTCCTTCTGGCCGACATGGAATTCCCGTGGGCGCTTGGCCTTCAGGTCCGAAGCAGCTTTGCGCATGGCCTTCTCGCAGGGTTTCTTAACTTTGTGGCTGCTGTACGCACTGGATTGCGTGAACGAGCTTGGGCATACTGAGTATCGATACGCTGGCTCATCTGCCAAAGGAACTGCAAAAGCCGGTGGGTTGTTTGCATTGTTTGCATGGTGTTGGCAGGCTCTCCTGTGCCATGGCAGACTTCCTCGAGGCCATGGACTGGCTACTTGCTTCGACTGGCTCCGCCGCAGGATGCCGCAATATGTCTTGCCATGTATTGCTGTGTATTGCTGTGTATTGCTTGAACATCTCAAAAAGGAACCCTGGGTCCTCTGCAGACGGGGCAAGCAGCCACACCTAGGTGGCACATGTACACCAGTGCACACACCCCACCCACACACACACACTCACTCATTCCTCTTTCGCCTCTCGGGTGACTCAGGTGTCTCCGCATTGCACAGCCGTGAAACCTCTGATGCATCGCAGGCAGAAGGTGTGGCCGCACAAAGGAAGGCAAACCTCGGTGGCCAACATCGCATGAATCATTACAATTCGGGCGCCCTGAGGCGCCTCGCCAGGCCTGGTCTAAATCCAGGAATCTAGGAGTCTAGGAGGTCAGGATGCTTTCTGTTCTTGCACAAGCCCCATTCGAGGAGAGTCGTTCTTTGCGCTGCCCTGTCCCTACGCACCTAAACCAAAAAGAAGTGCCCTAAATCCTGAACGCAGTCGTGCGACAGGCTCCTCAAAGATGTTGAGGCAGATCCTTGGCCAACGCCAGTCAGCTGGCATGGGATGAATCTCCCGCTACGTGCCTTGTGAACGTCCTTCAACTGTACAAGAGAAATCGGGCTTCCTACTCAGCCTCGATACAGAGCCCAGCTAAGTTGGACACCCCTGTGCATTGTGCAACCTGCTTTGGGTTTGGTTCCGTAGGGTTTAGTCGAACCACTTCAGGTGATTTCTTCAAACCTGAAGCTCCAGCAAAGGGGGTTGATCGAAGTGAAGAGCCTCGTACTTGGTGCATGTGTACGAATCGAGGGATTTTGAGGAACACTGCCTTTCTCTCACAGTTGTAGCAGCATTTGAATTTGCAGCATGAGCCACACGCTCACGTGATCCTTCAGCCCTTGCTTCCGTGGGGCGAGCAAGTCAAAGCGGCGCACTCAGATATGCCTTGCAGCAGACAGCCCCCCTGGTACCCGAAAAGCTTCATCGTCTAGAGTCTCTAGAGTCTATAGTGTGGAGAGTTTCGAAGAGCGGCAGAAAAACCGAAGTTTGGTACCATCAGAAGCTTCTGACCTCTGCTCCTCTGAGGACCAACTCCGGAGCTTAGGAAGCCTTTGTCGGATTTCGGACGACTCTCTCAATCCCACGTATAACACCCTGCATCACAATGACAATTGTCACGCCTGCATCTGGTCCTACTTCTGGAACCGCAGGTGCGAAGACGGGGCTGTGCATGTCGAGTTGCCTCTGCAGCCGCGAGATCGGGAGACGACGATGAACCTCTATCTATGATACGAGCCATCAAGCAACCCAAGGGCGACAGAAGCAACAAACGGAGCCCGTTCCAAAACCCAAGGACCTCGAAAACTCCGATGAGTCTGTGTGTGTGTGAGCGCACTCGCTCGCTCGCTCGCTCGCGCGCTCTCTCGCTGCCAGGCAGGTACTGCGTTTGAACACAAGCACGAACATCACGAACAAAGGCCAGTGTGCACAACACAGGAACGCTGGCTGTCTGGGACGACCATGCTCTGCAGAATCTATCTGCGCAATGTTGAAGAGCACTGAGGGTGGGTGCTGGAAGTTGCCACATGTCCTTTAAACCCGGTAGCTTGATGACGCAGTTACTCATGAACACGGCTGAGCCCACAATCCATAACATTACGCGATGTTGTAAGTTGTTGAGAACTTTTGTAACCATGTGTAGCCCACCCGCATATGAGAAAGAGCATCGAAAGGGCCACAGGCAGATGCATCCGCGTTAAAGCATCACCTGGAAACTCTGGTGCCGCAAAAGAGAACTTGCCGGCAGGGATGGCAAACAAGACTATGCTTGATGAGTGTCAGACCTGGCCCTCTGCAGCTGGAACCCTGCATATTTTAAGACAGACTACTGACTACCTGTTTGCACATTGTTTGCTCAAGCCGACGGATCTCTAGCTAAGAACATCACAAGGTTGCCAAGACGCCCGTGGGATGGGGAACGCTCGTCCACAGAGTTGGGGCATCCGCCAGAGGGATAACCGCCCATCATTCGGCCCCCTGCCGTGTGGGTGCTTCTAGGGTTTGGCAATTTGATATGCGAGCTCTGTTCTGGCATGCCATGCAGAATCAGCTCACCCGAGCTAATTCCCACGAACCTTGACACTCTTTCTTGAACCACCGGGATGGAGGGCTCTTAAGTCCATAATGTCCATAGTCGACAGCATTCGGAGAATTTGGGCAGGATGAAACGTGCAGGGCTCCATTCAAGCACAATCATTGAGAGCCATGTCCCCACGAGACATTTCAACGACAGCGCAACAAGGTACGACAAGCCCTCGGTTCTCAACTGCGCAAGTTGCGTCAATGATTTCTCCGCTGCTTGAATCCCTAGCGGCCCTGGCACCAACGATCCAATGAGAGCCCCCCGCCAAGGCGGCACGTTCGTCGCTGGGCGCGCTGCTCGAGCCACTCACGTTGCGCTGAGCTCATGCTTCAGCAAAGGACATGCTGTACACGGCGCGGGGCTTTGGTTTTAGGCTTCGGGCTTGGTCAGGATGGGAAAGTTAGGGCGTATACTGGCTAAGAGTGCTATGACTTCAGTGACTTCGAGACAACTATTGACTAACCTGCAACGCAACGTAGAGGGATATGGAAACCCGACTCTTGCAGACATCCCCCCTCCCCCCAACCCTCAACAGTTCCCACTCGAGATGGGCTGCCCCATGGAACTACGAGAATAGTTCGCTTCTGCCTTGCACCGACAAAGAAGTGTACCCGTCGCCTTAACGCAGAAACTCCTACGGCTGGAGCTTTGAATGTTGAACCAAAGACAGAGCTCGCCCCTACCCTTTGCTCACTCGAGTTGTGCCCTCTGGCTCCTTTTGCTTGTCGCCGTTGATCCGATCGAGGTCACTCCTGCCATTTAGTTGCGGCAGCTTGAAGTCCAAGTTCACACGGGGCTGTTCCAAGGCCATCTTGGATTCTCTTCTGTTCTCTTCGCGACCCGCACCGCAGCAGCAAGCTTTCCCGGGTGTCCATGACGCGCATTTCTAAAAGTAGTCACATGCTTCCTTCTTTTTTGGACGCGAGGGCCATTGGAGATTCCATCAGCAATTGGATCGAGGGAGCGGCAGTTCTACACTCTTGGAGGTTCACGGCCAGTTGCAAAGCTGACGGGACATGTCTGTGGGACCTGAACATGCAACCCACACTTGGCTGGATTACAGGTTCTCCTGACATCTCCCCCCCCAACTGCCCTCCAAAGTCCTCAGCCCGCGGTCGGGGTTCAGCTTCCTCGGTGTTGAAGGTTTTGGGCTGCACATGTTGAAGGACACTGACCTCTGCCGCCCCAAAGTCGCCCCCCCCCCCCCCCCCCGGCCCGAGGGACCCGGTGATGAGGCAAAGTGGAGTTTCGAATTCTTGGTGCTCCGCACGTTTTGGTGTCAAGCAGCGTGTGTAATCTGATCACCTCTCCTCTGCAACTCACGACCCTCTGCGATAGAGGCGATAGCGCAGACCATGCCCGACTTCATCAACCCAAACTCGCACATCCCGAATATACAACATCTACAACTACCAACTCCAAGACCTCGGAACAACTTCTTGCTTCGTCTCCGATTTCTGCTGTAATTGCCGCTGGGAGTTTTGTGATAATCTTTTATCTGTGTTGGACAGAGTAGAAGGGGAGCTGGTAGATGGGTACAGGAAGTTGTGGTTTCTTGTCGGGGTCGATTGGTGGTTGGGATATGTGGCTGTAGATGGCTATGGATGGCTGTGGCCTGTCTGTACGGGGTTTGCTATGCATTTGCGCAAGGTGGCTGTGGGATGAACCGGGCCCAGCTGTGACAGTGGACCACACTTTTACATCCAGGCCTCTGAAGTCTGAAGTGGAACACACACACACACACACTTACTTACACTTGAAGCCACAAACCGCCGTAACGCAATGCAGAACCATGAACAGGCAACAGGCATGACCAAGCTATTTTCTGCAGGGCTCTGCTCCACTTCAGTGATCTGTTTCCTGGGCAGCAACATAGAAGGCACAGCACAGGTTGTCGACGCTACAAAATGTCGACTAGTCTACTTACCCAAGTCACTGGAACAAGGAAGTTGGCTTCTGCACAACACCCCAAAGACCCTTGGCTTGAACCCCGAGGACGAATGCTCCAGGACGCGTTACAGCATGTTGCAGCAATACCTTAAATAGCGGTTTAAGCATCTTTAATTGAAGCCCTTGGCTGCCTAGCTAGCTTAGCTGCCAGGCTGCTCTGCAATCCCCAATCTGTTTTCCTTCCCTCACTTCACCTCAGACTCGTCAAGGCGTCGAGATCTGCAGGGCCGCGAGACGCTGGCCACTTTGGAGGCTGAGGCGCTCGCTGCCTCAGAGGAGGCATTGAAGAAACAAACCCTCTGTCTCTCTCTGTCTGTGTGTGTGTGTGTGTGTGTGTGTGTGTGTGTGTGTGTGTGTGTGTGTGTGTGTGTGTGTGTGTGTGTGTGTGTGTGTGTGTGTGTGTGTGTGTGTGTGTGTGTGTGTGTGTGTGTGTGTGTGTGGTGTGTGTGTGTGTGTGTGTGTGTGTGTGTGTGTGTGTGGTGTGTGTGTGTGTGTGTGTGGTGTGTGTGTGTGTGTGTGTGTGTGTGTGTGGTGTGTGTGTGGTGTGTGTGGTGTGGTGTGTGTGTGTGGTGTGTGTGTGTGTGGTTGTGTGTGTGGTGTGTGTGTGTGTGTGTGGTGTGTGTGTGGGGGTGTGTGTGGGGGTGTGTGTGGGGGTGTGTGGGGGTGTGTGTGTGGGGTGTGTGTGGGGGTGTGTGTGTGGGGGGTGTGTGTGGGGGTGTGTGTGGGGGTGTGTGTGGGGTGTGTGGGTGGGGGGTGTGTGGGGGTGGTGTGGTGGGGGGGTGTGGTGGGGGGTGTGGGGGTGTGGGGTGTGTGGGGGTGTGGGGGTGTGGGGGTGTGGGGGTGTGGGTGTGGGTGTGGGTGTGGGTGTGGGTGGGTGGGTGTGGGTGGGTGGGTGTGGGTGGGTGGGTGTGGGTGGGTGGGTGTGGGTGTGGGTGGGTGTGGGTGGGTGTGTGTGTGGGTGTGTGTGTGTGCGCGCGTGTGGGCTTTCGTTCCTTTCTCTTCTACTGACTTCACCCACAAGGGTGCCTGAAGATGGCTTAGGGAGCTCATGGCCTTTGGGGCCTTGTGACGGAAAGCGCGCCTATGAATGGCTCTTGTGTTTCCACGGAAGTGCAGAGGTCAGGCTCTGGCTCAGAGAGCTGGGTTTTCCTCTCAGTTAGGGGGCATTGAATAGGGATAAGCTGCCCCGACAACCCGTTTGATCGGCCATCTAATGCGCCACACCCTGCAAGGCAGGATAACATTCATAAGAGAAAGAAACACAGTTAACCCACTATATCTTCACCGGTGTAGAGAGCACAATAATAAAATTACAAGTGGAGAGCGAACGGAACGGGCAGAATATGCATATGAAAGAAGTATGCCCGCTGGCTCCTTTACAATCACATCTTCATTCCGTTCTTCTAATGTTTGTAAAGGTAATGATTATATTACTACGAATACACCGTAAAAATACTCTGATAAAAACAGGCAAGGAAGGCAATGACGCGTGCTTTAAGGTTCTTACCAAGCCCTAAAAATACCATACTCATGTGGGGCGTGAAGGAATACTATTGCACGAGCGCTAAAAAACTAGCCGTACAACAGCTTGGCACTTTGGCGCATTTTCCCACAGGTCGTCACAAGCCCTCCGACACTGGGCTTCTGAGCTTTTAGGTGGCTTCACTGTCTTCACTGTTTTACGTAGCAAACACATGTTTTAACCCCAACGCGATGAGTTGACACGATATCATTGCGATTTGTATCTTGCAGAGCATCCGAGCATCTGCAAGCGTTCGTGGAGTGTCTCAACCGCTGCTTTTGGTTGGATTTCCACACCTGTTTTGTGTAGCCTGTTGAAAGTTGCGTGTTAGAGGAACTTCTTCGCTCTGCCATGAGGCAAATCAATGATGATGAGGGGACGATAGGGTGCCAGGGCGGATTTCGATCTCACCAAGAACTTGCTGTATAAAGTGTAGGCAGGTGGTTTTATTCAAAAACACCTGAGTACCTCTTGGGCAGACCAGAAACGGAAGGTCATGAGGTCCTTGTCACTGGCGCCGCTACGCCTTGGCATTGATGCGGCAGTGAGCCCATACTGATTCGCCTCGTACAGCACTGGACAAATCTACACCGAAGCTCTTGCTGATGGAGTAACAGACTGAGTAACAAGTGTCGCGCCATATGGCTGAGCATAGAAAGCAAAGAGGCCAAGTGGCACTAGCTCTTGCATCTCCTTCTCCTGCGGAAATCAAAGCACGCGCAGCATCTGCGTTGCCGCATTCTATTCTGTACCCGAGACTACCCCGCTGAATACCTCGAAACTGCAGTTTTCCAGAACGATTCTTGATTCCTAGCAAAGGTAAGCATCCGAAACTGCTTCGGAAACTTCGGAAACACCGCCCATCCCAAACAGCGGCTCCGTCGACTCAGTATCAGCGGAGATCTGCTCGTGAAGCCTCCAAACGGCGGCTTTCGGGGTGTCGACTCTCAGGCCATCCCAGGCCCACAGCGTTGAGTATGTTGAGTGTCCACCACTCTGCTGTGCACTTGCAGAAAATGATCCTGACCAGACGCTCCCTCATAAGGCACGAGACATCCTACGGCGCAGCATCAATGCAAACGTTTGAATCTAACGGGCACATCCAGTCGCGGATCCTGCCTGAGGTACTGCACTCGAAGCACTTGCAGCCGCTCCTGGCGTTGCTTTAGGTTTTCGGTGATGAGCTCCAGCCATGAGGTTGCAATCACTGAGATGCCGAACCCAAAAGCCATCGCGCCACAGGCTGACAGCTGTGCTGCTCTAGGGACGGCGTCTCAACCTAGACCTGACTCCCAAGAAGATGGTGATCCCCCCAACCCCTTCTCACTGACTCACTGTAAAGTCTGATCCCACGTGGAACTCCGAAGCATCGCTTGAAACATTGCCTCCAGCTTCTGCCGTTCTGCAAGCGGTAGTTCTGGAGCACGTGGAGCCGGTGGGTCCTCGGAGGGCACGCAGTCCCCCAAAGGATTTGCTTGGCAGCATGGAGGCGGATGCCTAGCTTTCGTCTTCCAACGCAACTTGGAAGAAGGCTGCGGTGTGCAGTTTCTTTGATTTCAGAAGCTCAAACTCGTCCTAGAAAACATGTTCAATCACACAGCCAAACCCGGGCATGCCCCTTGGGTCCTGAGCAATCCTTTCCCCAGAAGGTCGCGATTCGTTCTCCGCAGCTGTGGGTGCAGCCTCAGGGGCCACCTGCGTGCAACAATAGGCAGAAGGCGGGGTCTCAGGGAATGGTGCCGAAGCCCCCTCCCCAATACTCCACGCCGTAAATGTGCATAGCACTTATAAACTTACACGAAGACTGACCGAACCAACTCGGTCCCAACAACTCCCACCATCTGGCCTTCGGCTCCCCACCCTGGCGTAAGCGCTGGAACTCGCGGATCCTTTCTGCCTAGTCCGGGCATGAGAAACGCTTAAGTTCAGGAGCAGGAGCATAGTAAACAAATTGTCATCGCATGTTTCCCATTCACAGAGGCCGCAAGAACTCAGCTTGCTCGTATTGAGGTTTAGGATCGAATGCGAGTGGAGCAAGTCCCATTGCAACCCAGCCTCAACGACCTAGACCCTATGGAAACCAACAGCCGGTTTGAGTCGGTACTGCAAGGTGTCATCCCTTGTCCAACCCTTGTTATCTGGCCTATTCATCACCCCGTTGACTCGGGTCTCCGTGCCAGGAGAATGTTCCGGACACTAGGATCCAAAGTTCTCGCCCACTTACTGCCTACATGTTTCCTTTGCGCTTCTCGGTCTACATGAAGCTTTAATTCAAGAACTTAAAGCTGGCTGGTTGATTCGTGCATTCTCGCTCGTTGTTCTTCTTGGTGCTTCCGTCCCAGGTGACCCGGTGCATTGCATTCTGCTGCAGACGACGAGCTGTTCCTAGCACTTTGCCTTCTTTCCCGTGTCCACGTCCCGGTGGCCGCCCCCAGAGAAGCCCGCACAGAATGCCCCAGAGACCTTACATCGACTCGCCCTGCAATCCTGCGCAGAGGTTGCTCAGCGATTTTCTAAACATGGAATGTATCCTTGCAGCTCCTGAACTGCCCACGCCAAAAAATCCTGAGCACAATTCCGAGATGAAGCGTGCGGCGAAGCATACAGAACCACCTGTCCCAAAAAAGGGCTGCTTAGTTGTAGAGTGGGGATGATCGAAGTAATAATTTTTCTTCGTCTTGATTATTGTCTCACACTTGAACTGAGAACTAACGCAATAGGAGTGAGAAGCCTCCGGCTCTCCCAACATTTCCAGAGACATGGCCTGTGCCCGCTCGGCCGGTGTCAGCTCGGCCTCCGTCGGAGGCGTCGGTGCTGGTGGTGCCTGCAGGGTGAAGGTGAGATTTCGGCTCTCCATTTGGCAGGATTTCGGCTGCCAGGCATAAGGCCAAATTACTGCATCTCGAGGGTTTCTGATCCCAGCCAGCACTCCTACAACATGTTGGTCTGTCTAGTGAGTCTAGTGCGTCTAGTGCATTGTGCCAGTCACATGAAACGAGGGGTCGATGGGCTTGCAGCAAGAGAGTCAGTTTGCCCGAGTGGTGAAGGGAGTGGACGAAACATCCACTGCACGCAAGTGCGCGTGGGCAGTGCATCAAAACAGAAAGGCATGGACTGGAGCTCGCTTCACTTATTGGGCCACCTCATCACCAGGAGAAGACTCGGCACTGGAAAAGCAGCAAGCAAACGATGCTGAGCGCCACAGCCACTGACACTTCCCTCTTGCGGAACCTCTAAGCTTTTTCCATCCTAGGTGTCGTTCCCCCCCCGTCTGAGGGCCTGCGGCTTCGGGGCCTCCGCCTCCTTGGCCTCCTTGGCCTCACGTCGCGCCGCAGCTTCCGCTTCCTGAGCAGTTTGGGGGGGAATATGGGGGAATGGAAGGTTTCTTTCCAGCTACTCACCCCTTTTCAAGGCGACACCCTTGGGACCCCTTTCACTTTCGACCGTGCTGAGGGCGTATTGTGCTGAGGGCTTTTTGGCTTGCTGGAGGGTTGCACTTAGGAGCTGTAGGATGTGGTTTCGGGAGGATTTGCTTTTGGAGCATATGAGCACCCGGTCAGACTGTTCGGGTTTAGGCCCAATGCAGACCCCCCGAAGTCAGGTCGAGAATCGCTGCCGAGTGGATGTCCCGAGGCATCGCAGGGCACCAACTCCTCAGGACTTCGGGGAGTTTCGGGGAGTTTGGGCTAACGGAAAGTGCTCAGTGCTGCTTGCTTGGTGCCACCACAACACACGAGTGCCAAGATCTTGATGTTATGTTGTCCATCGTTGCAGAATTCTGCTGAGCCCCTGGTCAAGTTATAAGACATTACTTGGCATGTCCGGGGCTGCCCGGCCCGCCCGTCAGGGAACCAAGGAAAAAATCTCAAACATTCAAGTCGAGCCACCTGGTTGGGAAGTAAGATTCAATTCGAACGTGCTCAGCCACGGCATGGCCAATGGCCATCAAGTTTGCAATGGTTGGAATGAGCAGCCGGGCTGTTCATGTGCGGCGCAGCGGCCCGTGTCAAGCGAGGACTAAACGGCTAAACAGCTGTCAGGTCAACAGCTGCTCCATCCTCGGACTTCTTCTTCCGATCGTTGGCATCGCCGTCCGCCCATTGCAGCAGAACTTGACCGTCAGCCAAGAATCCCTGGGATGGGACATGAAGTTTTTACGTTTGGAGGTGCAGGTTTCGCGCAGTGGTTTCAAACTTCGCCGGTTGTGGTGCCAAAACGACACAGGTGTAAGGCAACGTTTGGGCGGATGGTTCTTGAGCTCCCTCCTAAGGGCCCTAGGGAGCTGAAGCGTCAGAAGCACTTTCGTCTCAAAACCCGCACCGTGGGCACCTCGATCGTGGCTGTGTAGAAGCTTCCAGAGAGGTAGCGGGCCTGAAGACCAGAGGTCTGAAACTTTTAAGCTCGAAGGTCTAGGCTTCCATGTAAGACAATGTTAGAGCGTCAGAAGGACCTCGCCATCAAAAGATGTAGATCGTCCAGGCTCGAATTCGATTCTGATATTTCCTGGACTCTTCCGTTTCGACATGTTTGGACAGCAGCCATTCTGAAAGCAGATTCCTCATTGGGCGAAGTGGGCTAATAGATTATACATTCCGAGCCCTGACCGTGAAACAGCTTGGAACCTTTGGCTGGCACCTTCACGCGCTGGCCCACGGAGAAGCCGTCGCGTGCAGAAATGGCAAGCTGGCAGAGGCTTTGGGCTGAAGGTGACTCACAAGACGCGGCTTGAGGCGGGTTCCGATCGGGCCTTTTTTTGAACCCGCGCTGAGCCCGAGGCGTGTGACGAGAAGGGCATTCACTCGTCCCCCACTCCGAGCAGCCGAGCAAACCCGAGAACAAAACACGACTACGACTACATAAGACTACTAAAAACTGACCAGGCACATACTTTTGCCATGGTGGCTGGAAACAGTTCAGGTATGTAGCAGACTGACTTTGTCACTCATGTACAACAGTCAGACTGCAACAAACATCGCAACAAGCGGAACTGGAACCGAAACAGCATCGGAAGGGCTCTCAAAGTCTCTGGAAAATGCAAAGAAGCACATCGGCAACTGAGCCACATGAGCCACTCGTCGCTCTTCTTTAAGCTTCCTTGGTTTGAAACGTCTCAGATATCTTGTCCTTACGCGCAAAGCAACTCGAAATGTCACAGCAAGCTTTGCGCATTTATGTGGTCCACACGTCTACGAATCCCGCAGCGGAAAGGCGAAAGAACCGCCCAACTGCACCGACATCTTTGTGATCAGCGTGAGTTCCCACAGAAAGCGGAATGAGAAAAGACGGTAATCCGTCCTCCAACCACGGAGACTCCAGTCAGCAACTGCATGTAGATCTGACTGGTGGCATCCAAGGTGATGGCCCTGGCAGGATCAAGTACTCGATGCTCTGTTCCCAAAGTGCACTGTAGGCCTCCAACGACATGATGTTGCCAACCAAAATGGCGAGCCATCACACCAAAGCCCCACAGCAAGCCAAGAACATGCACCGCGATCATCAGCGATGTGTACTGTCGCCACGAGGGCTTGATGCAGAGCATGGCGCTGAGCGCCGCGAAGGCGTTGAACAGCCCGAACCAAGTGTGGGCCTCCTTGTTTAGGAATTCATCGTGACTGTCGTATACGGCCGTGGGCAGCAGGATCGATCTACTTTCACGTGCTTTTGCCAAAAAGGCTCCTGTCGGCCCTACACCTCAAGATCTGAAGCTTAGCATTCAGCTTCCCAGTTTCCATGCGTGTCAACAGACAATCTCAGTCAAAACCTTAATGCCTTGTCATGCGCAGCCACAAACCGAGAAACTTCGCTCGAAAGACCCTTGATCAAGTCTCGGGGCTTGGGATCGTAGGGATGGCCATCATTTTCGGCGCCTTCTGCACCTCTGGCTCCTTCTTGACCTGGTGGGCTGCAGCGATGGGAAGGTGCATTCCCACAAAGCACATCCAACATTTTACAATCTTCAATCCTGGATGACTTCCTGCATTCCTACACACTATTCCTACGCCTCTGCATACACGTCTCCGGCGCTTGCCATTCGATACAGCGCGCGGCGCGGCGCGGCGCAAAAAAGAAAGTTGCCATTTACCTTTGCCTTTCTAGGACAGCCGCTGCTGCACTCCTGCACTGCTGCACTGCTGGGCTGCGCCGTTGCGCCTCTGCCTCTTTGTTTGTTGAAAGCGCTGGGGCATCCGTGGCTGCCGCTGAGGGCGCGTCCTGGAAAGCGTCTAGAGCTGGTGCTGTTGCCGACGACCACTGAGAAGCATTACTGCCCGAAGCCGACTCTGAAACTCAACCCTAGCGGCCCAAGCGCCGGCACAAGGTTCTGGATTCTGGAAAAACTCCAAGGCTTGGAGAGTCCGCCCGTCCCTCTGCGGAAGCCTCGGTCTTCTCCTTCGCGCGGCTGCGGCCGCTGCGTTCAGCCGCGCATGGAGACGGCACGGAACCTCTTTAGCTGATCACTCGGCACTGAAAGGGGTCTCTGGGAGCTCTGGGTCGGGGCTTCTTTATGTTCTGAGTGTAGGGATCAAGGCATCTTAGCATCGTTGTCAGTCCACCTTTGTTCTCAACCATTTGCTCAAGCAGCGCCTGCAAAAACTTGCTAGGCTCTAAGTCTGCTCGGCCAAACACTTCCTGAAGCGCCAAGGATCCCCAAAGCCTTGGAAGCCACCTCAGGCTGGCGCCCTGCCGGCGCGAACCGCTCGCGTGAGAGCGGGAAGCTCGCCTGGACAAGTGAGTCACCCTTTTTGGGGTTCTTGATGATGGTTTCCTGCCACCTATGACGGACCTATGAAAGAAAATCTACCTGCCCGTTGCCTTCGCCCTCGGCTGCCATCGCGAGGATCCTCATCACGCCTCCAGAAAGGGCATGGAAGAGGGTCGTGCGGTTGAATGATGTACGAACTGGGACCTCAGCCCAAGGCCGAAAGCTCAAAGGCCGTAAACAAGCACGAATCCTGAAACCCTCCACCTCTGACTCCTAAAGCCATTGTAGGGCGCGGATTTAGGCTGACCGGAGCTTCAGTGCTCAAAGTGCAAGGCAGAAGATGCCACAAGTCTTTGTCTCTTCTCATCAAGCTGAGAGAGCTACAAGCAACTATCTGCAACCCAAAGCCTTGCGCCCACGCTCTGCAACCCAAAGCCTTGCGCCCACGCCCGAACTTGTCAACTTCCAACCACTGCACTGAAGCCAACAACCTCCCCACAAAACCCGCAAAAACCCTTCAAGAACCAACGCGGGTTGGCACCTCGAATCCCTTAAGCTTGTTCGATCGACTCTAGTCCCGAAACATCCCGAAACTCCAGGCGACGGACCCGGGAGGGCGTCGATCTTGTCCTGAGGACTCTCAGAGAGAGGCGGATGAGGCTTCTACTGGCTGCCAGCAGTTGCCGCAACACTTTCACGCATGGCCAAGAAGTTGCCAAAAAGAAGTTCCAGTGTTCTCATGACCGGGTTGATGTGAAGTAGGCACTTGACGAAGTGTCGGCTTTAGTCTGCTCCCTTGTGTCACTTAACATCGGCACATACCATCTTTTGGTAGGTTTGCTACAATACTGTTCCTTGGTAGCAGCTGCCAGGACATCTCTTCGATTCTGCGCCCAGTCGGATGTGGACCCGCCGGAGGCTTTGAAGGGCTTATAGGGGCAGCGGCTGAAGCCGCGTCCAATGATCAGAACTTTGGAATCTTTAGCCTATACCCACGAACGACAAGGGAAATGCATTGCATGTCTGCAGTGAACAAGCCATAAGGCCATAACAAGCCTGCCCGGGCAGGCCTCCCCGCTCACGACCCCGATCGTCGTAATCGCCTTGGCACGTTTCATATCTCTCTGATTTTTCTGCTTCTTCTTGTCAGAGGGCTTACGGAAGGCAGATCCTCCCCGCACATCTGCGCGCATAAGGCTGTGGGGAGGCATCCAGTGTCTGTCAGAACGCAGTGAATGAAAAGCCCGAAACATGTAACATCAAATTTACAAGCGTCCTTTGCCAGAAGCCCCAAAACTTCAGCGCAACCGACACCCATCCAGGCATGTGGAATTCAACTCGAAGGCCCCAATGGGCATCACCAGCAGCCGTCATCAAAACAATAGGTCAACAGGCACAACAGAAAGCCCTCCTATCCCCAAGATCAGGGCACCCGGGCGACGGCGACGTGGTGGTGAGGCCGCGCGGGGCCTTATGCGAGCGAGGTTCTCGTATTTGAGGGCGCGCAGTAGGTTTGAAGACCTACAGTTCACACAGGCGGACACAACAGGTCGAGCTTACACGAAGCAAACGTGTTGTTGAGATTCTGCCCGCGTCGATATTCTGGACAATGCCAGGGGCCGCCAGACGCTCAGTCAGCGAGCATGAGCACGCCCCACTGCCCATATTGCAGTATGGGCTGGCTTCGTTTGCAATAGGCCCACCCAACGTCCCCCTGCCAACAATGAACCGGGATGATGGCCTTCTTTATGGCGTGCGCGCCACAGCGCATCGAAAGGGCACTGAGGCAATATGTCACGCAATAGGTCGCGACTTGCACCAAAACTCAAGCCACTGTCACGAAAGCTTCGCGCGAGAGAGTTGCGGGCGGCAGGGTGGGGAATGATCAAAGTGATCTTCGGTGGGGGGGAAACTGCGGCAACGATGACATCAGCAGCAGTGCACGCGTCAACTCCTGACATGAACGACTTTCTATAGATGTCCCGTAGCCCCCAACAGAAGCACACATGCAACTCAAAGCACGCAGTACAGTCACAGGGTGAAGCTGCAGGCCCGGGTTTTTCAAGAAGCGTCTCTCTTGCTTACTGGGCCCAACCTTGATCTGGAACGTCTGGAGGGGCTCACCCGCCTGTGGCCAGCAGGAATCTTTGAGGCACGAGTCCAGTTGCAAGCAACAACGAGCATGGCACCGAAACACAAGCCTAGGTTTTGGACTTTTACTGGATTCAAGTGTCGCAAAAACCCTTCACCAGAACGATGTCGCAAGCGTTGGGCCTACTCCGCTGCCAGTATCGCTCCTCCTGGGATTTACGTTTTCGGGGGTTGGGGCTGTGGGAGTTTCAGAGGCTAAGATGGTTCAGGATGTTGGTTGGTATCATAGGGTGTCCACTTAGATACTTCCATGCAATTGCAGTATTGCTATGTTGCGCAGGCGGGCATCGTCGCACAATGGACATGTCGGCTTGATCCGCGACTGGGGCGCGAGACCTGCACAGCCTTTCGAACCCACATGATTCAGATGCGTAGCCGCAAAAGCTGCCTGAGTGCTTCAATGTACTGCATGCGCTTCATGATCTCCCACGAGGGTTCAGGGACACTAACGCCACACCTCCAACTCCCGGCGCCGGGGTGGTGGCTCGCGACCCTCGCGGCCCTGGCGACTGCACGTTCAAAACGGTGTTGTCGCATGTGCTGCATTGAACTCAGTTGAGGATTGTATGTGTTCGCTCTGAGAGCTGCCCAGGGCTGCCAAGTTCTCAGCGAGAGCCAAACGATCAGCCAAGGAGACCCCATAGCGCTGCCGGAAGCCGCGGCCTCGGCGCCGGTGTGATAGGTCCACAGCAGTAGCGCAGTGTCGTGTAGATTCTGTGTAGATGTTGTTGTGATGGGATTGGAACAATGTGCGCTTCTTCTGCGTCATGCAGAGCTCGGCATCCAAAGCTGGGAAGCCTCATGGTCTTCCAAGTTTAAAAGCTGGGCTTTACATTCTGCGCCGATCAGAAACACCCGCAAGCCTTGAATGCCACTGGCAAGAGCTCAATCCACGGCGCCCAAACCACGTGAGCCCCAGACCCTCTTGCAAGTCAATTGCCATTGCCACGGGCTCCTGACAGGCGGGTCAGGGTTAGCCGGTTGGGGGCACATGGTTTTGCCGAATACTTTACTTCAAGTTTCAGTGACTTGGTTTGATGTCACCAAACAAGGGAGAAAGGCTAGGAGCAATAATCCGATGTATCGAACCCTGAGGCCAGTGTAACAATCAAGCCGACTGAGGGCCCCACTGTCAAGGCCGAAGTCTACGCGCCATGCGGTGAAACAATGGCACTCTCGGGCGTATGTGCGTTTTGTACGTTTTGAATGCTTTTCCGAGGCTGCATTCTTTGCCTACGACGGGTTTAACGAAGTTGGTGCAGGCTGCAGGGTTGTATGTACTTCCTCAGGCAAAAAGTTGGCCTTCACTGGGCATGTTGGGTAGTAAGGTGCCTCCGGAAAGGCGGATTTTTTGGCGGATTCGCACCAAGATGTGGAAGAGTTCTCGCCTGCGTCCTGTTTCTGGAACATGGGGCTCGTTTATGAGCCACAGATGCACTTGGGTTCTGTGTTGCGGTTGACGGGGCACACTACGCGAAGGACGGCACAAACAGAGTCAGAGCCGTGCACGTCATGATGTCATGGTGCCCTTCTCATTTGACAATGAGAGCGCTGGCGACTCTGACGTCCCGGGCAAGGAAGCCTTTTCTTTCAGACCATCGGGCAAGGTCCGTATTGGACCTGTCCGAAGAAGTTTTCCATGGCAATGATGTTTATTCAGAAGGAGCTGAAGGGACTGTAGCTATCATTGGGTCGACTAAAGCATGTCCATACTGCTCTAAGCAATTGATTTAGCATGCGCCCGCGTGTGAACCGACGGGCTATCCTTCGCGCAGCGGCCGCATACCTCAAGCCTGATCACTAGTAAGAGTCCATGTAGGATCTAGCACTTCGGAGCCCAAAACATCTCGTAACCAACACAACCTCTCACATTCTGCTTGGAGCCTTTCACTGTCAAGCGGCACTACTTCGCAGCATCGCGCTGCGGTGGCTTCTTGAACTGCTGGAGGAAGATGCCACAAGGCTTGTTGGTCCTTGCAGCGTGCGCTGCAATTGGGGGTGGGCACTTTAAACACAACGGCTCTCACTCAAAGGAACAGAGGTTGCTTGTGGCACAGCTTGCAATCTGCAGAGCCTGCGGGTTGTGGGGTTTAGGCATTGAAGGTTCAGATTCGTCTTCTCAAGACCACATAATTTGGACTCAGCTTGCTTAGCTCAATACTGAGGTCATCAAGCCATCTGCAAGGTCCCAGCGAGACTTTCTACGACACGGGCTTCCGCAACAAATGCGGCGCCAAGCTTCTTTTTGCGGAACTCCTCCATGTACAGTTTCCTAAGTGGACAAGTAGGCACTCGCGGCCGAGTCTGGCTTCATGCTCAGTCAACACCCGTAGACTCCAAGTTCAAGCTGCACTCGAAACCATGGACGTTTGCGTGCCTTCAGTTGTATAGTGTCGTACATTATTCCTAGAATTTCCTAGACCTGTTGCACACCCTGCCACCCGACCAAATCAGGCCTCAGACTCACCTCCGCATTAGTTGCCGCTGTAGTGGCTTTTGTTGCTCCAACAAGTCGATTCGCTGATTTGCAGTATTGATCTGCTCCCTGGCGAGCGGTTTGGCAGCGATGAGAGGCTTATAAGCAAACAGCACGCTAGCCTCAGGCGCAAGACCGCAAGCTCGCTAACTCCCCAAAGAGCAATCAGCAATTGCAACGCAAAAAAAAAACTTCATGCGAGGATCCAATCAAGTTGCACAGAGGAGGCTGGAGTAACCGGGCGAAGCCGTTGAACATCCAGAGAGCCCCCCAAGCTCAAGCCCGCCTCAGCTCCTCCAAGCGGGCGTCGCGATCCTCGGACTCGGCCAGGAGCTGCTCCCACTCCTCCGGCATCAAGACTGAACATGACTAATTACGCATCTTGTCTTCCCTTTGGTTTTCGGATTTCTCAAGGCTTTAGGTTTTTTTCGGCATGCGAGTATTGTGCAAGAGAATCTCCTCGTTCTGCTTCTGGTGTCGCTGCTCCGCATCCTTGTCAGTACCATATGCTGCTGCGCGGAGTGCAGTGGCTGACCGTGTTTCTGCCTAGTAATGAATTACTTCACATGCGCAGGAACATCTAACTGAATTGACGTCACTGGCGCTGTGGAACTCAGTTACGCAGTGCGTCTTCGTGCAAAAGCGCACGGTGCGCGGAGCTGTGGACATTGATGGATAATCATTAGTGGCCCCGTGTTCACCAGCCTTGATGGCATCCTTCTGCGCAAGATAGCCTTGATGGCCATCGGCTTCAACAAGCAGGGTGCAAAGCTGTGTCCGAGGGCCAATTTCAGCTTCAGAGAAATCGACGGAACTTGCAAAATAGCCCGCCCCACTCGACCCAAAGCCAAACCCGACAAAGCTACCTCCACAAGGGCAAGAAGCTCTGATGGATGTCATTCCGTGCATCGACGGTGCGCTGGTAAAGCGTTTCCTTCTTCTGCAGCTCGTCGTCCTTGAACCTTGGAGGATTTGGAATATCTTGGTCTGCTTGGGGGGTTGAGGAGTTGGGGACTGGCCAGAGGTTCGTCACCTCGACTCAAGGGATCCTCATCGTTCCTCATCGTCTCTCTCTTTTGCTTCTCTTTTTTTTTTGGGGGGGGGGGGGGTGGTGTGGGCGGGGGGGGGGGTGTTCCCGCGCCTTCAAGAAGTCCACGAGTGGCATCTACGGGCCGGCTTGGCATCTTATGGGGATTCTTCAGTTCTTCAGGCTTGGCTTTGCTGATCGCGGCTGGGGCGCATGATCTCGTCACGATGCCTCTTCAAGGACTTTTGCACCTGCAGTTGAGGGAGTCAACCACCTGCCTAACCGGAAAGTTATCCGGTTCCCTTCCTATTTTCGACTCCGATCTTCCGCCAGCAGTGAAGATCACAACTGAGAATCTTTAGCTGTCCTGCTTGAAGGTGCTTATCAGACATTCGTGACTCTGCTTCAGATGAACTTTTGTGTGCATGGGTTGAAGGCGGAACCAGCATGATTGAAATGTTGCGAGATGTTCCTTCTTGTTCTCAGAGGGCATGGGGGAGAGACCCATGTCGCAAAGCTGGCAAAGCTCAACCTGAAGCCCCCTCACTCAGTGCTGGAGCTGCTAGACTCTGCTAGACCACCCCAGATCACGGTTAAGCTGCCCGTCACTCCACACGAGAAACGTTCATTGCCAAACTTACTGGTGCGTGCTCCTGGCCCTAACAAGCAGGCACACCGAAGTCCTCTGTGATACAAAAACCCCCTTCAATGATCTGAAACCATTGACACGGGCCTTGGAGAGCTCCGCAGAGACCTGGGCATGCATGAAATACCCTCGGAAACACATGTGGCATCTTGCATCCCAGAAGCGGTATCCCGAGCCGACACGGCGGCTCGGTGCTCCTCCACCTGTGGCAGCCGAGAATAGGGGGGGGGCTCAGGGCGACTCCAACTGCACCATTGCACTGTTGCGCTGTGCACGGAATGAGCTGCTAAATGAGACAAACAAAAAGTCGCGCCGAGCTGGTTTCGGTTCAGTGCAGGGAACTACACCACATTTTTGGGTGTAGGGCATATAGTAAATTGAAAGGATTTCCCTGTCCAATGTCTCTGTCGGTATGCCTGCTGCCGGAACATGGACGATAGCATTGCCGCATCAGCGCAAAGACCTAGTAGCAGGCTGTCGTGGTGTTTGAGGGTGTTTGGTGGCGTTTGCGCTACAGTAGCAGTCTCGACCATGCCATGATCCACCCTCTGCAGGGTTCCTTAGTCTTCTTCTGGGCTTTGAAGAGGCCCTGCAGGCAGTATGGGAGCTTCAGGCGCTGGCTCCGGTCGGGTGGGGTCAGATTGCATGCTTGGAGCTCCACTAGCCGAAACTGTCAGGGTTGAAAACAGTGGCATTATAAGCTTCCTGAAAGCCCCCTTGAACTGTCAGATTGTACGAGGCCGACCCTTCAAATGATGATACTGTAGCAATGCCAAGTCGAGTGTAACCGTCTAACCCTGGAACGCTGCCAACGAGCATTGCCCACGTCCAAATGCGGACAAATCTACACTGCTCTAAAGCCGGTTGAGTCCAGTCGCTGTCCACGGACGACCAGGTTTCCTGCAAGAGCACTTTGATCTTCCTGGGCGTGTTTTGGCTGTGCTTTGACCTGCTCGGCCCTATCTTGTTGGACTCAACTCGGCTGGCCTCCTCGCTCGGGATCCCTGTACTTTCTTACCCACGTCACCTGGTCCCCAAAGCCTGCAGTGCCCACTCCATCCCGGAGAATCTCACGAAGTATCTGCAGCATGCGCCTGCACCCAGAAACCCCACAGAGAAACTTTCAAAGCACTTCATCCCAAGAATGCCCATCGGAATTCTGAGAACCATCGCCAGTTAACAGTGGTTGATTCGGATGGTGCTGAAGTCAGTTCGGCGGCAGAGAAATCAGAAAAGAAGCCATCACAAATATATCTACAAAGCCCCAGCAACTATAGCTTCTTGCACCGCGCCTCCCCCAAGTTTAGAATGTTTATTTAGATCGAAAAGGACTGCGAAAGGTGCTGATGGAGCACTCTCGGGTTGGTACTCGTCAGGCTGTGTTGCACTATGCCCCATGCCACCTTTGCTCATCTTTGTTCAAGCGTCCTGCCGTCTTGCAGTTCAACCCTTTGACCCTTCATGCTGAGCCGGTTGGAGCTTTTTGACGGCTTGAAAATGCGCCGGACTTGGACCCAGGAGTGCCCCCTTTGGCTCTCGCTCTCAGCCCAGCTGCTCCAGGCGCGGCAGATTTTCGTTGGTGACCTCTGTTGGCGAGGCTCCAAGACGGTCCGACTGCCCTGGAAACCTCTAAAGATCTGTAAAGCCTTCGTCTTCAGGCCCTGAGGTCCACCTTCGAAGAACTCCCTGGGAAACATCCGAAAGGGAACTCCTCGAGAGTCAAAGAATTCTGCGCTCACAGCGCCCGCCTTCTGATTCCGCTCCTTTAGGTCGCTGAGCTCCTGAGTGCTACAC